ATATCTGTACGAATATATAAAATATTTTATATATTATATAATAGACACAATATATTCTTCGATACAAGGCGAATCAAGTTCTATTCCATGGCTGGAATCCGAGCTCTCACAATTGTTTGATTGCCAATATGGCATTCTGTAACATTTGGGTTTTACTTCGTTAAAAGAAATAATTTTCAAATCAGTACATAAAAGGGAACACTTAAAAGTTCCAACAAAAGAAGATGAAACACCTATTTCGTATAAATTTTCCACTATCGAATATTTTTGGACTACCAAATAATAACAATTTTCTAACTGTAAAATGTTTCTTACAAGACAAATTGAAGAATCATTTAAAATGCAGCAATTATCCCGCAGAGAGAGCCCAAGAAACATATTTTTCCTTTTCAATTTTTTATATTGCATGTAGCAATTGGGAATATTAGTTGGAAGAGGCCCTGTTCCATGTCGTTAAAAAACATTAATACATTTACTAGAATTTTTTGACAGTATTAATTGTTCCCACTTCTCTTTTTCTCTACTTCTTAGTGCGTACTGCTGAAGAGGGCGATCAGGTTTTCTATAAAATTTTCTGAAAAATCTCATATTGTTTTCATATGGAAAAGCTGAAAATGTTTCAAGAGGGCCATCAAATTGTTTAACATCTTGAACGAGATGTTGCAATGCATGAACGTTGTATGAAATAAACGTTAAATCAAATATGGTTTCACATCTCAATATAAATTTTTCCAGAGCTATCTGAGCAAACTGTAAATGTTTACAAGAAGATGAATTATGTGTAAGACAACGTATTGCAGCACTGAGAAATAAAAAATGTAGATATACCTCTTCTGATACAATTTCACGTAAAACGACTGGTTCGGTATTATACAGAAGAAATTGACGAAATTCGGTTGCTTCGTAATTCTTCAACTCATTGTAATAAGTGACCTTGGTTTACGAGAAAAATCTCTTGGACAGAATAATCCTACTTTTTCAAGTCGACGACACAATAAATCGTAAGCATAAGCAGATAATTTAACTTTTTTTCCGTACTGACCTGTAACTAAAGCATAAAGATATTTTTTTACTACCCCTAGACAAACTAAATGCATATATTCAAATGGCACTTGAGATACTAATCCCATTGGCAAACGTAGTAATGGACTGAAGTCAAGATAATGTTTGCCATCTGCGAGTGTAGAGTATTCGTCTGTTCGAGGAATATAATTAATACCGAGAAAAACCATGGTATTGTGAAATCGTCTACCAACTACTTTACATTTGGAACATGGCCTTTTGGAACAATGGCCTTTATGACAAAGAATGGCAGCTCTTGCTACCATGTCAGTAATAAAAGCTCTTAACCTTATTGGAATTTTTAAATCTTTAAATGATATGCCTCCATTTGATATAATTTTATTCGTCTCATCAATAAAATCTTTCAAGAATTCTTCAAGATTATCAGGTTTCTTTTTTCCTCTATATCATATATACCTATTACTTCAGGTTTACAGTTCGGAATATTAGCTATTCTAATTTGAATTAGTGTCCCTAGAAGATAGAGTCTGGTCATTACTCCTCAAAATGGCGTCAGTAAGTGGTGGGAATTGATCACAGCTTTCTCGAAATACATATATATTGTGATATCGCGGACATACATACGTATACATACTACCCTTTTAAAGAACACAATGACAGTCGATTAATTTATATATAGTAAGTTAAATTATTATCGTGTTCCAACTCATCAATTTCTTATTTGTTAGAAGTGTAAAATCCATAAGTAGTTCTCTAACCAGCAAATAATAACATTCTTACAATATGTTTAATCATAAAAGGAATTTAATTTTTAAATCCATTCCCAGACATCACAAAATATTTACGATAAACATACATTTTATATAACTTAATTTAACTTATGATGAATATAAATAAAAAAAAATATTTTTCTAGTAAATATTTTTTATTTAGATTATAATATCTTATTAAGTATTTTTATAGTATTTATTTACTACAATATGTACGATAAATATTCCATAATATTTATAATAAATATAATCTTTGCAATCTATAGGACCACAAAAATATTTACAAAATATTAAAAATACATCTTAAAATATTTTGTAAATATTTTATAAATATTGTGTACTGTCTGGATTAGGCTACAAATATTTCGAAGCATTCGTAGTCTTCATACTTTCTTTTTCTTATTCTTTAGGCCCTTAGAATTCAAGTTTCAGCCTTCATACTTTCAAGTAGGTTGTAATCTATATACATATATACGCGCGATTTCTGTATTGTGTGATTGGTTACGCCATTGCACAGTGGAGCAGAAATCGAAAAACGCGTGCATAAATCGAAAAAATGAAATAATATTTTTTCTATTTTGAAGTATTTTATTGTTATCACTATTGTATAGTATACCATTTAATATAATTTTTAAGTCTCAAATTATTTTATTCTGTTCTTTATTCAGTGTTAAACATGAATTATTTTATATGTATCATTTCAGCTCACAAACATGTTAAAGTTTCAATTATTTGTTTCGTAAGCAATTTACATTATTTCATACTATTGTCTGTACTTAAAAGACTTGTCAGAATGTCCTTTAAAATGTGTATAAGTCACTTAATTAATTACATTAACGATTTCACGGAAATATCGTTTTATATCTAACATGATACAAAAATATATCTTCTACAACTTTCCGTAGGGTTATATAATTTTCGCTATATTTCGCCATCTTAATTCTTGTTAAAATCTTTAATATAAATGTTGTTCTAGCTTCTTATTCAAAAATTGGCTGCTAATGTTTGCTAATAGCATTACAAAATGTATGTGTGATATGACGTTTTAACGCGCGCTTCAAGGCTTCGAACGCTATTGGAAAGGAGATATTAAACAGTGTACTGTGTGTTTATTTCATTACGTAACTGTAGTGCTATACCGGTTCCTTTTTTTTTTCCTTATTAGAACTTCAAATTTTATAATGGTTATTCTAATACTATATATTTAATATTTTAAAAATCTTTGTATAATTATTTTCGTGTAAATTTTGTATATATGTATATATACATAATATATACATACATATATACATATATAGATATGCATGTGTATATATATATACATATATACACATGTATATATATATATACACATGTATGTATATATATATATACACATATATACACATGTATATATATGTATATACATATGTTTAATTGCAAAATTTCATGTAACTGCCGTAGTATATTCGCCATTTAAAATTTTTTTTTTAACATCAGATTTATAATTAGTTACCTTTCAAAACTATGTATACAAAGTTTGATGTAATTATCTTATCTAGAACTCGAGTTTTCGATTTATGCACGCGTTTTTCGATTTCTGCTCCACTGTGCATTGTGAGGGGCTTTTGGGATTGACCAATGAAAACAATCATGATATGTGACCAGACTCTATCTTCTAGGAACACTAATTTGAATAGGCCAAATCTGCTGCTGTTTAGAAAGTGTTCCGCCATCAGTACTCCAATCAATTTCTAAAACATTAGGTGTGCATACCTATGCATCTAGGTGTAATACATTTTGTTCGAGAATTCTAACGACTGCTTTTTCGAAATCTAAATGGAGGTATTCTCCTGAAGAAATATAAGATATTGCACAATAATTACCTCGAGGAGTATTAAGTTCTTGTATCTTTCGGTAAGTTCGATAAACATCTATGTAATCGTAACATATCTAAAATAATGTTACCTTGAACATGAGTAAGGTTACCTTGTATAAATGATGCTGCTACGCGGTTTTGAAAGTTCATTGTTTCATCGATTGATTCATATTTTTTATTAGTATCAGTTGTGTCACTATAACTAATTTCGTATAGATCACTAGTATTATTATTATTACCAGAAAAATTCCTTGTAGCACAATTATTTGTTTTATCATCGATATTATACTGCAAACAGTTTCTTGTTGCAATTCTATCAGATAATGTACCAGTTCTCAATAAACAAGTTTTGGTTTGATGATTGATAACACATTCAAGCTGATTGATGACAAATACGAAAAGATACCCTGTGTCTAGGTTTACGTTAAATTGGTTTACGTTGAAATTTTAACATTTTAAAAGAATATATATTACTGAAGTGATTTCTTTTATACATATATGTGGCTCAAATAACAAATATAATGTGTCTTTTATATAATAATATAAACACCACTTAACGTTGGCGGTTATTCAGGTTAGAAAACACAAGTGGACACATCTTGGTGGCACGTTTAAAGCATCCGGACTGTGTCTTCACTGTGGCGACTCGTACTTGGTTATCCGCTTCGGGATGCACTGCTACAAATCTGATGGGTCACCGCAGGAGCGGCATGTTTTCTTCGATAAGAAGGACCAGCTGGTCTAACTTAATACCGGTACCAGAAGTGAGTCATTTATTTCTTTTCTGTAGGTCCTGCAGATATTCACGCTGCCAGCGTTTCCAAAATTGCTGGCGAAGTTTTTGCAGATGCTGCCAATTTGATAAGCAATTATCTGGTGTTTCAAGGAAACAACTCTCTACAGGCTGAGTGAGTGAGTCGCCAATAAGGAAATGTGTTGGAGTGAGCACCTTTAGATCTAAAGGATTATTTGATAAAGAAGTTAAAGGTCGGGAGTTGAGCACTGCTTTGATTTCTGTCACCAAAGTATTGTGTGTGAAGCTGGCGTATCATTTGGTGGAAGCTCATGAAATATTGAGAGTTCTGAATGTATTTTCAATAGTTCTATAGTTTCTGATAGATAAAACTAATAGTTCTGCCCTCTAAAGTGGAAAAAAAGCGAAAGTACAAACTGAGATGCCAGGTTTACGCAGCGTCTCACTTTGTCCTAGACAATTTTTGATCACAGATTCTTGTAGGATTTTGAAAAACAAACAGTTCTACATACAATACTTTGTTGTATTCCTCATAAGCGAGAACTCTTCCTCTAGTGATTGTATAGAGATGCTTCATAATTTTTACGGCGGCCTCTTACAAGTCTCCAAAATGAAGCGACCTGGGAGGGTTGAAGCTCCAATTGATCTTTTGCTTAGCCAGGAAGATCATTATATCTGGTTCTGAATTTTCTAAAAATTCCTGAATTTCTCGCAAATCTCGGACTGCTCCCACGAAGTTCGTACCGTTATCCGAGAACAATTGCGCGCATAGTCCACGCCTCGCCGTGAAGCGACTTAAGGCTGCTAAAAAGGCCTCTGTCGTAAGACTGGTCACAATTTCTAAGTGCACAGCCTTTGAGCTGAAACACACGAATACCGCTATGTATTCCTTCGAGACATGAATTCGTCCGCGCCGACGACTCTCTCGTATCTGCAATGGATCCACGCCAGTCACCATAAATGGTCGTGAAAGTATCGTCACCCTTTCTTTGGACAGGTCTCCCATGCAAATATCGGGAACCATTGATCTGTAGCGAAAACATTGAATACATGTTCTCACAATCTTCTGTGCTAATCTATGCCCGCTTATTGGCCAATAGCGTTACCGAACACTGTACAACAGTTGTTCTGGGGGACAATGTAACATTCTTTTGTGTTCCTCTCGCATGATGGAAAGAGTCAAATTATGCTTGGATGACAAAACGATAGGATGCTTCTGTTCCTGGGAAAGATCCGCGTATCTTAATCTTCCACCGACACGAATTAATCCCTGCTTATCTAGAAAGGGGGTAAGCGATCTAAGGGCGCTTTTCCTTGATAGATTTTGATTATTCATTAATAGTCCAGTCACTATGTACAAAAAAAAGTATTATAAAAGAAAAAACTCTGACCCAGGATTTTTCTTTTGGGGGGTGTAGGGGAGGTCTAGAAAAGCTTAACTTGAAGTTTTCGACTTCTGTTCCCAGCTTGCTTTTTTTGCTAGCGTAAAAAATATGAAAAAAATGTTTTTTCGCAATAACTCTGGTTCCAATGAAGCTAGAATGTTCAATGAGGGCTCATTTTAAAGATTTTTTTACGTTCTACAACTTTTTCTGAGAAAGTTTTCATGTACAATCGATAGTTTTCGAGATACCGAAGGAAAAAGCAAAATAAAGTAGCATATTATTTATTTATTCGCGTTTTACTCATTCTTATCGCCCAAAATCGTAAAAAGCTTCAAATAAAACTTGTAGAGCATAAAAAAATCTACAATTTTCATTTTTTATTTGTTTCATTTCGATGAAAATTGCGCCTTGTACAGCGCCTCAAAGTACAGGGTCGGCGCTAGCGTGTCGCGGCGATCGTCTACAAAAAACATACATTATGTTACTTGTTTCCGACAGTGAATTCAGAAATAACAGGGAAAGCGATCCGCTTCCTCGTATCGACTTGGCAGCCTCGCCGCGACACGCTGGCGCCGACCCTGTACTTTGAGGCGCTGTACAAGGCGCAATTTTCATCGAAATGAAACAAATAAAAAATGAAAATTGTAGATTTTTTTATGCTCTACAAGTTTTATTTGAAGCTTTTTACGATTTTGGGCGATAAGAATGAGTAAAACGCGAATAAATAAATAATATGCTACTTTATTTTGTTTTTTTCTTCAGTATCTCGAAAACTATCGATTGTACATGAAAATTTTCTCAGAAAAAGTTGTAGAGCGTAAAAAAAATCTTTAAAATGAGCCCTCATTGAACATTCTAGCTTCATTGGAACCAGAGTTATTACGAAAAAACATTTTTTTCATATTTTTTACGCTAGCAAAAAAAGCAAGCTGGGAACAGAGGTCAAAAACTTCAAGTTAAGCTTTTCTAGACCTCCCCTACACCCCCCAAAAGAAAAATCCTGGGTCAGAGTTTTTTCTTTTTTGAATGTATATAGTGACTGGACTATAAGCTTCGTAGCTCATGAGGAAATTCCTCCTTTTGAATCCACTTGACAATGACTCTCTCTGCTCGGATTAACTCTGCAATCTCTGGTGGTTTCACGTCTTTGTGAGTTTTGCTTAGTCTCTTTTCGATGAATGGTGGTTTCCTAATGCTGGCAAACCTAAAACAATAAGCTATCCTACATAGCTTGTTGAACGATTCACATTCTGGTAATAAGGGAGCTGAGGATGATCGCGCGGAAATCAAAGCAACTAGGATATTTCTCATTTCTGGTAGCTCCGTGTCATATATTTCCGATTGCTTCGGGCACTGACCTTTTTCTTTAATCCATGCGGGTCCCTCCCACCACAGACTATTTCTGTGGAGATCAGCAACGGTCGTTCCCCTCGATAGGAGATCCGCTGGGTTTTCCTCTGACGGCACGTGTCGCCACATGGCTCCTTCTTGTGTTAACTCTTGTATCTTCGCTACCCTGTTAGCAACAAAAGTCTTCAATGCATGCGGTTCTGTTCTGATCCATTCAAGGACAATCGTACTATTGCTCCATAATAAAATTCGATGCATCCTACCGTGTAGAGCAAGTTTAACACTGTGAATTAATTGTGCTGAAAGTAAAGCTGCTTCTAACTCCAATCTGAGTAAGGAGAGTGTCTTCAAAGATGCCACCTTTGATTTAGCACAAAGAAGATATGAATTTATATTACCGCTTTGATCAGTGCTAACTACATATAAACATGCTCCGAATGCATTTTGAGAAGCATCGCCGAAGCCAAATAGGTCAATTTTCCCTACAATATTGTCTGGATTGACATTTCTTGAAAGTTGCAGCGCGTTGAGTTCTGATAATGAATCATGATATCTTCTCCATGCCGTTACATGGTGCACTGGTAATGGTTTATCCCACGGCAGTTCTTCCATCCATAGCTTCTGAATGAATATCTTTTCTCTTATTAGGATTGGGCCGATTAGCCCCAATGGGTCATAGATCTGAAATATCGTGGATAAAGTTAATCTTTTCGTGAGATTTTGCTGTTTTGGCAAGTCCACTTTATATTGCAGGACGTCCTTCGAGGCGTGCCAGAGAAGGCCTAACGTCTTAGCTGCATCTTTGTCGAGAATGAGTAGCTCATTCTTTTTCGGCTGATTGAGTAACGGCTGTAAATTCTTGTTCTCGTTGGATCTCCATTTCCTTAGAAGGAACTGTCCTTTCTGTAAAAGCTCGATCAATTGTCTTTGAAGTTCGATGACTTCTTGATGAGTTGCCTCTCTTGAGAGTAGGTCGTCCATATAGAAATCTTCATTCACGGCCCTGGCGGCTATGGGATAGTCTTCTTGATGCTGAATTGCCAATTCTCGAAGACAGCGTATTGCGTGATACGGTGCACTGGCAATGCCATAGGTTACTGTGTTCAACTGATAAATGTGTGATGCTTCTTTCGCATCGTTTCTCCAAAGAATTAGTTGTAACTGCCGATCTCTTTTATCAATGCGTATTTGATGGAACATTTGAGCGATATCAGCTGTTATTACATGTTGATGCATCCGAAATCTAAGAAGTATTTTGATAAGATCATTGTGTAAATTAGGTCCTGGCATTAATTTATCGTTCAACGAGGTGCCTAAAGTGGTCTTTGCAGAAGCGTCAAAAACCACGCGTAACTTTGTTGTCAAGCTATCAGGTCTGATTACCGCTTGATGAGGAATGAAGTATGTTTCTTCTGTTTCCGATAGCTCCGCAGCTGTTATCTTAGTTATGTGACCACTTTTCTCATAGTCCTTCATAAATTCACTGTATGCTTGTCTTAGATCCGGATCCCGTCGAAATTTTCTTTCTAATACTTCTAATCTTTGTTGAGCTTGATTTTTTGATTCTCCGAGTCGAATATTCGATCGCGTGGGCAATCGTACTACAAATCTTCTATCTAACTCTCTTCTTCTAATTCCACAAAATGCTTTTTACATGCCTTTTCCTCGATAGTGTAATGTTTGATCTCTGGAAGACTCTCCAATTTCCAAAATTTTTCCATCTGCTGATGCAATTGATCATTCGTTACTGCAAGATATGTGGAAATTTTCGCGTCCGATTTTGTATCATGTAATGATCCGCCGATGATCCATCCTAATTTCGTATTTTGCAGTGCTGGTTGTCCGTGGATTCGGTTTCTCGGTGCGCCGATGAGTAATTTCCAATACCATTCTGCTCCAATGAGCAAATCAATTTTTCCCGGTTCTTGATAGGCCGGATCTGCAAGCTGAATTTGGTATTATTATTTCAGTGGCTTCTATTTTCCTTTGTGGAATTGGTTCTGTAATCGATGGCAAAATGAGGCATTCCAATTTCCATGTGAAATTACTGTGTATTGCCTTTACGTTTATTCGTGCAATTTTACATGTATCAATTTTGGCTTGGCCTACGCCACTAATAGGAATACTTTGATTTGACCATGACAGTCTCAATCTCTGTAATAGTTCTACTGTCATAATATTAGACTGCGATCCAGCATCCAACAAAGCACGACAAATTACTCGTTTTCCATCGGCATCTTGCACGCATACTTGAGCTGTAGAGAGAATAACTTGCGAGCCTGTACCCTTATGTGTATCGTTAATTTTACTGGAAGCCTTGGTACTGTGAGTAACAATCTGCGTTATCTGAGCTTCAGCATCTTCTATATTTTTCTGCTCATCTTGATGTAGAAGCGTGTTGTGTCTACCTGAACATTTTTTACAAGTAGAAGCCTTACATTCTTTGACTTGATGTCCAACGTTGAGACAGTTGATGCACAATTTCTTTTCCAAAATGCGTTTCTTACGATCATCCGGCTTTAGTTTTAATAATTCTTCGCATCGAAATATTGGATGTTCTTCATCGCATATTTTGCATTTGTATGATGCTGACGCCAATACGACCTTCTTTCCATTTTTCTTTTCTTGTATATTTTTTGAATGTGACTGCATCTGTTTCGATGAGGTAACTCTGCCTTGATTCAACATCCTTAGCGTATGACAGCGTTCTGTCACGAATGCAATGAATTCATCCAATTTTGGCATATTTTATGGAGTATGCCCCTTTGTGCGGTTTTGCCAATCTCGCTGTTCTGTGTATTCCAGCTTCTTTTTTGCTAGATGCAATATAACTGTATCCCAACTGACTGATGCAGGGATTTTAGCTATGATTTGTGTGTCTGTATGTACCAAATGAGCTGTCGCATTGAATCTGCCTTTCCATCCTTAGTGATAGATGGAAAATTGAAAAGTTCGTCTAAATATGTTTCGATAATCATCATCTCGTTATCGTATGTGTTTTTAAGAAGCTACCATGCATTTTCGTAACTCATTGCTGAATCCTTCGATAACTTTACGCGCTTCAACACTCCATTGAGATATTGATATTTTTGCGGTCCTGACAAATCTTCATCATTATGTATAGTGGTTTTAAAACTATTCTTAAAGAACAACCACTTTGTATACTCTCCACTAAATTCTGGCAGTTTCATTTCTGAAAGTTTTGGTTTGTTTCGTCTTTCTTGCAGACTTTCTTGCCTACGCTTTTCAGCTGGTGCTTGATTGCTAGTAGATTGTTGTTGTGCCGCTTCTTTTGGCGTCTTTCTGTCTATAATTTGCTGTGCCTTTTTCGCAATTTCATAATATCTGTCTTCGAATCGAACTTGTTCGTTTTCCATCTCCGTTGCGAATGCCTCCGCTTGCTGTTCATCTTCTATGATGATATTTTCTAGTTGTTGCTGTATTTCTTCGAATGAATTCCAGAATCCTTCAAGTTTTTTTAATCTAATCTGTGCTTCCGAAATTGAGCATTCCGGATTATGCTCAAAGAATGTATGCAGTCTGGTGACTTGTGCTTTAATGCGTGCTCTTAACCTTTTCAATTGCATTAATTCTGGAATTTTAGAGAGATATGGTTTTCAAAAAGATATTACAGAGTATATTATAAAGGAAAACAGAGTATATTATAAAGGAAATACTATTTGCAAGAGGTTAGGAAAGCGATTTTCTCACTTGTATTTTTCGTTGTCCCACGTTGTAGCCGAATCGAGTATAATGTGTTTTGTAATGTGATGATTAATGCGTAATTGACCTGACTCTTTGATGTCGAGTGTGTGGAAAAGATGCTGTATGCACGTGCCTCGTGCTTAGTGTTTTTGATAAAATTATTACTTGTTGTGTTATGACTTGCTTACGTTTTTGACGAGATTCGGGCTTGTTGGGCGCCAAATTTGTTATTGAGAAGGTTTGCGATCAATAAACTGAAGTCTTTGATTATAACCGCTTTACTTTTGATCGTGTACAATAGGTATAACCCGTATAACCAATACAATCCTCGCCATATTGTCTTCTGCATTTTTTTTCCTTCCTTCCTTCCTTGCTCTTTTCCTTTCTTATCGACAGCCGTCTGAGCGCAAATATACCGATTCACTAACACATATACATTTTTGCCAGCGTGTTGCTACTACGGAGGTAAAGGAGAGAGCATAAGCCTGTATTATAGGCGAGGGGATTGAAGCCATGGCGGGGAAGAGGGGTAAGCCTTCAGCCATCTTGTTCGGCGACATTAGTGCTGCTATCTAATGCATAGAAGCGATACTACTGGAAACAATAATCTGAACAAGTGGTAAGTGGCTATGTTTATACCACGGAGGTTTATACCGTACGTTTAGGCTCCGACCTATACGATAAGTGTCCTTGTTTAATCTTATATGTTAAATAAACTTATAAGTATATTTATAAATGAGATTTTACTATTTTACAATACGAATATATATATATATTCGTATTGTAAAATAGTAACCGCAAAAATTTGATCCTTCCTAAATTAAAACGATTATCTAATATAATATATGATGACCACGAAAAGTAACTGATATATTACTAAATGTGCCAGTTCAAAGTGAACGTACATATAACGAATATTTTCTATGTTGAATATGTACCACGAAAAGGAACTGATAGATTATTCAAGGTGCAAATTCAAATTGAACATACATACATATAAGTAAAACAGATTAGAATTTGTATATTACAGTTTTCTAGAAAATAACTGCAATATGTTATTCTTAGTGCACAAAATATAAAAGTCGGTTATTGAGATTCGTTTTGAAATTTATACTAGCCCATAAAATGAAAAATT